GGCCATTATCTCTTTAAAAAGTTTTTTCTGCACAATCTCCCCCTTCTTTTCTTCTGGGACTTTATTGTCCCCTAGGTCACTGAGTCTGCTTGTTTTTTCCCTCTAGTCTTTCCTCTCTGCAGTTCGTTTTGGATGGTTTCTGTTATCCTATCTTCAAGTTCACTGCTCTTTTCTTTCTTATGTTTAACATGCTCTTAAGCCTGATGAATTTTTCACTTTAGATATTGTATTTTTCAGCTCTAGAATTTCCATTTTCTTTAATAGTCTCTGTAGAGATTCCCCATCTGCTCAACTGTATGTCCATCTTTTTCTTTAAATATTAAACATATTTATAACAACTGTTTTGAATTTCTTGTATGTTAATTCCAATTGCTATTTCATTTCTCAGTCTGTTTCTTTTAACTTTCCCCCCAATATGGCTCTTACTGTCCTGCCTTTTTGCTTGTCTAATAGATCTTTTTGTAAGCTGGATATTGGTCTACATTGTTGAGGATCAGGATTGTGTTGTCTTCCTTTAGAGTCTTGGGTTTTATTCTTGCAGACAGTTAATGAACTTGTGGGTCAGCTTGATCTCTTCAAGGGTTGTTTTTAATGTTTGTTAGGGCAGCCCTAGAGAAGCCATTACTCTAGGTTTAGAGGAGCCCTTCTCCAAAGATAGGGCCTCTTCAGGGTTCAGTTGAAGGTTTGGTGTCTTCAGAAGGTGTCTCCACTCTGGCTGTTTGGAATTCCTACATCTTCCCGCATTGTGTTCTCGCCAGAATTTGGATTTAGCTCACAGCTTCTTAGTAGCTGCTCTCTGCCAAGCCTTGTGATATCTTGCCTTGCACATGGCAATTAAATTTGGCCAAAGACTCAAGGAGGCTTCTCTGTCAGTTTCTAGAGCTCCTGCTCTGTGCCATTCCCTACTCTCGTACACCGCCCTGCGGAGCCACGTGTGTCAGCCTCCCAGAGCTTCCCACCTCTGCCTCCTCAGCTCATCAAGACCCAGTGCTCTGCTCCAGCTCCACCTCCCTGCACACTGGCCAGGCAGACAGCTGGGGCGATTGTAGGGCTCCCTGGTGTGGTCCAATCGTGGGGTCTTGGCACTGCACTGCTGGCTGTCCGACACCTGGCAACAACTGCGTCCTAGTCTCGTCCAGTTCCATAGTCGCGTGTGGCGGGCAGGCTAGTCAGGGACTAGTTCACTTTGCCGTCAGAAGTCACCCGTGTTTCTGTGTTTAAGTCAGCTGGCAGTTTCATTGTTGCTCTTTTGAAGAGAGCGTGTTTTTTTTCTGGCTGGTTTTGGGATTCCCTTTTTTTTTTTTCAGTTTTCCTGTAACATCCTGGGGTGTGTGTGTATTCAAGTAATCTTGTTTGGGGTTTGTAGTGCTTCTTGATTATGTTGTTTGATGCCTCTTGTTAGTTTTGTAAAATTTTCAACTGTTGTCTCCAAATACTGATCCTGCCCATCTCCCACCCCGCCTTCCTCCTCTTCAGTACTCCACTTATACGTGTGTTAGCCCTGTTCATTGTCTCACTTTCTTATATTTTCCATCCTTTTGTCTTTTCGCGTTCCAGTCTGGATATTTTCTTCTGAATAATCTTTTAGTTCACTAATTCTCCCCCAGGAGCTACAGCGGCTGGAGACAGAGCTGGGCCGACCCCCTGAGCGCTGGAAGGACACCTGGGATCGGGTGAAGGCTGCACAGCGCCTTGAAGGCCGGCCAGACGGACGTGTGAGCGGGTGTGGGTGTGGGGTGTGAGGTGGGCTTGCTGCCAGGAGGCAGCGGCCGCCTGCCCTGACACAAGCTGCACCCTCCTGTCCCCCAGGGCATCCCCAGCTCCCTGCTGGTGTCCAGCGTGCCCCACCACCGCCGCTCACTGGGTGTGTACCTGCAGGAGGGGCCTGTGGGCTCCACCCTGAGCCTCAGCCTGGACAGTGACCAGAGCAGCGGCTCAACCGCGTCTGGCTCCCGCCAGGCAGCCCGCCGCAGCACCAGCACCCTGTACAGCCAGTTCCAGACAGCCGAGAGTGAGAACAGGTGTGAGGGGCACCTCCCACTGCAGCATGGACACCTCTGAGCTAGGGGGGTTCTGGGCTCCTGCGTGGTCCTGATCGGGGGCAGGTACCTTTGGGGGAGCTTCTAGTTATTTCTTAGGTGGAAGGACTTGTGGGGGAGGCCACAATGGTGGCTGGAGCATAAGCTGAGAGTTGCTGGGGAGAAGCAGGTGGGCTTGGAAGGGGTTTGGGATGTAGAACCAGTGACCACAGCTAGGCTGTGGTGGCTGTGGGATAGCCCCTGAGGGCAGGCAAGGTACCAGGTGAGGTTGAAGCAGGTTGCAGGTAGGGCTGGGGCCCAGCAGGCTGTATCCCACCCTTGGGCCTGGAGGGGCCACGTTGCCCCAGTCGCCTCCCCAAACGTGCCTGCTGTGTGTTCCTCCTCCTCGTCAGGCAGCATCTGCCCTGCATGTGGGGCTGCTTCCCTGAGTCCCTGAGGCTCTAGTATGGGACCCTCCCCAGTGTCTGTCATGTAAATGGTATGGGGGGGGGGCTCTTCTCCATCTCCTCTCTGGGGACGGCCCCAGGGCTTCTCTGTGGCCCTCTGGCCAGATCTCCAGCCTTGGGTCAGTTTGGGGGCAGGGGTCTAGCAAGACCCCCTGGAGCTCGGCGGCCATGGGGGCAACTGCTGGGGTCTGGGCTTGGCTAGGCCCTGATGGCTGGCCTGGCCCGGGTCCTGCTGCGAACTCAGGTCCTATGAGGGCACCCTGTACAAGAAGGGGGCCTTCATGAAGCCCTGGAAGGCCCGTTGGTTCGTGCTGGACAAGACCAAGCACCAGGTGAGTGATCACTGGATGGGGGAGCGGGGCAGGGAGCTGAGGGGGCCCTGCCCTGACTTCCTACCCACCTTAGCTGCGCTACTACGACCACCGCATCGATACAGAGTGCAAGGGCGTCATCGACCTGGCAGAGGTGGAGGCCGTGGCACCTGGCACTCCTACCATGGGCGCCCCAAAGACCGTGGATGAGAAGGCCTTCTTTGACGTGAGCTGCAGCCGGGCGCGGGGGATGGGTGGGGTGTGCTGCATGGGGTCAGGCCCTGGAGTCAGCAACCCGCCATCCCCAGGTGAAGACGACCCGTCGTGTTTACAACTTCTGTGCCCAGGACGTGCTGTCAGCCCAGCAGTGGGTGGACCAGATCCAGAGCTGCCTGTCAGATGCCTGAGCCTGGGCCTGCTCAGGCTGCTGTGTGTCCAGCCGTTACAGACCACTAGGGGTGGGCAGGGCCCCCCGCCCATGTTTACAGCCCCCACCCGCGACAGTATTGAGGCCCCGCGCCCGAACTTGTGTGTACAGCCCCCACCTGCCCTGCCCACCCCCGCCTGCCTGGCCACCTGTAACTTATTTTGGAGTTATGGTTGAGCGCCGGCCTGGAGGCGGTCATGGTACAGCCCTTGTGGTGGGCCTGTAAATAGTCCATCCCACCCAGCCCCGTCAGTGTGCCAGCCCCGGCCGGCTGGCCACAGACAACCTGTTCCTAGAACCAGAGTCTATAAAGAGCAAACTAACAACGTGCCATGTGCCTGCACTTCCTTGGCCGCCCACAGGGGCCTCTCTGTCCAGTACCCAGGTCCCCCAGGTAGGGGCCGAGTCCTGGTATGACAGGGTCTATGGCCTAGGGGGCCACTTCATCAGGTCCTTGATTGGTGCCTGGCCACCTGTCCCCACAGGCCTCAGGGGTGGTCTTGGGGCTGGCACAGCCTGAGGAAGCACGCTCCCGGCCCAAGCACCCCTGGGCAGAAGATGGCCACCTAGAGGTGCGTTGTGAGGAGAAGGCAGTTCCCACGATGGGAGGTGGCAGTCATTTGTGCGACCCTCAGAGTCGAGAACAGACTGGGTGGGCGAGGCTAGAGGATGGGGTCGTTGAGATCTTCTGATCCTTGGTCAGACAAGAGTTGATGGGATGGAGGAGTGGGAGGGGGTCTGTGAGGAAGATGCTGAGGAGGGTGGGCTCCCTGGGGAGTGAGGGGACTTGGGGAACAGGATGTTACATGTGGAGGGGTGGGGCACAGGGACTTGACAGCCTCTTGGTTCCCAGCACCTGCCCTCTCCCTTCTCTGGGGCTTGCCTCGGGCCCTGACTGCCTTGCTCACCCCAGCCTGTCTCTGGCATAAGGGTCATCATGATTTCTTGTTGCTCTCCTTCCCCATTCAAATGCGAGTCTCACCAGGACCAGCGCCTCACCTGCAACAGGTGCCGGGCCGGAGAGCAGGGCAGGCAGCAGGTGGGGTGTGGGGGCGTGGACTTCACAGAGGCTGAGAGAACATCCCAGAGAGGTCTGGGGTGGTGGCCTGGTTAGAGGAGCTGGTGGTGTGTGGGGCCCAGCTGGCAGCAGCACTTGTCAGGTGGGAGGTGAGCAGCAGGTGTGGACACAAGTGTAAGCAGGGCCTCTGCAGGCACAGGAAGGACCCACAAGTAACCTCAGGTGGGCCATGAGAGCACCCAGGTTCTCCCTGGGCCATGTGGCCGGACATCAGACTGAGGTTCCCGATACCCAGGAAACCCTGGGGTCCTGTGCCTGCTCGATTTCACGTAGGGGCAAGGGGCTGTTCCCAAGGGGGAGGTGGTAAGGTCAGAAGTCCCCAAAGCAGGGGCCAAGGGGTGGGTCAGTGTAGGACGAGGGCCTCTTGAGAGGGAGAGACACTGCTGGGAGACGACTCCTGGCCCTGAGGAACCAGGAGAGAGCCCCTTGGTGGTGAGGTGTCCCCTCACGCTGCCCTCTGGCTGTCCCTCTCTCCCGGCCAGTGTGAGGATGGGGTGGCCTTCTGGGGACGGCACTGGCTCCACGTTGGATTCGTGAACTCCAGGTAGAACTTATTTCACAAAGAGAAAAGCTCAGCGTTCGCTCAGGTGTTGAGAGTGGCTGCTGAGTCACAAGGATGGGCCTGGGGGCAGCAGAAAACACCCCCATCGCCAGCCGGCTTGGGGCTCCAGAGCCTGCAGCTTAACAATACGCCAGTTCGTCAGTAATGATAACACAACTTTTATTGGGAGTTGGGTTTCTGGGTGCCCTGTCAGATTATCAGAACATTAAAAATGGACTCAACGTAAAATACTCCTGTGGACCCCTTCAGGGACGACGCAGCCCTGCCCTCCCCGACAGGTGCAGACCCCACCCCACCCAGCAGTGCTGGATCCAGTCTCTGCTCCCCTTACACCCACCTCCTGCACACCACGGCCAGCTCCTGCCAGGTACCCCAACTATCCACCAGAGTGTGAGGGTCAGGACACCCCCACCAGGCCACGAGGGTCTTGTTTTTTTAAGGCAGTCAAATTTTGCAGCCTGGCTCAAGGCCAGCTCCTGGGGCCACTGGGCAGCAAAGACACTGGTCCAGCCCAGCTCCAGACCCGCATTTGTCCCGAGGAGACCCTTCGCTGCCGTTGGATACAAAGTGCAAACACGCAGCTCCTCCTGCGTTTGTTAAAAAATCGGTAAAAACTGAGGCTCAGAGCCTGTGGCATACGCGCCTGTCACGGCCCTCAGTCCTCCAGGTGTCTTGGGGTCATGGCCCCAGCTCCACAGGCAGAGGGCACATCTGAGGCCTTATTGCTGTGTGGGGTCGGGCAGGAGAGATGAAGCTGGGCCGTCCACCTGGTTCCAACTGCCAGCTTTACCAATGCAGCATTTATTTTAAAATTAAATTAAATTAAATTAAAAATGACAAATTGCATCACCAGGTAGTTTTTCTGATTAGGGCGCGCCATGGCTGGGCGGCAGCAGCGTCACACGGGGCCATTTAAGGTTGCTCCTGCAGGCGGCGGCATGTCCATCTTGCTGCAGGAAGAGGGGTGGGGAGTCGGAGCCGCTCAGGGCCCAAGGGTCCCTGCAGCCCCCTCCACCTGGCCTGACCTGCTCACCTGTCCTTGGTCACAGTCCCCAGGGCAGCCACCGTGGAGACAACTGGACTGGCCGTGGCTGGGGCGGTGGTGGTGGTGGTGATGGCCACCATGGGCCCCGGAAGAACTGCCACGGCCAGCACAGGAGAGATTGCCGGAGTGGGGCCAGCCTTACTCAGCGCTGTGGTGGCCGCCACGGCAGCCTCTGGGGGGACAGCCACAGCTGAAGCAGAGGTCACTTCTGCAGGTGCAGGGGAGGCAGCATCTGGTGGTGTGCTGGCACCACACTCGGCCCTGTGTGGAAGACGTGCGCTCCAGTGACCTGGGCCACTTCCAAGCAGCTCTACCCTGCAGGGTGGCCCAGGGGCCGCACCTGGGCAGGCACCTCTGCCCACCCGAGTTCCAGACACACCAGAGACAAGCTTCTTGTGCACAAAGGCCTCACCTCCTTCCAGGCAGTACATCCTAAGCTTGTTCCGCGGGTCTGCTCTCTTTTTAAACAGCACCCACCCCCAAGTGGACAAAGGTGGGTCCCGAACATGCCCCCTTGGTGCTCCCAGCGACCCTCACTACTGTGTGTACCACACGGCCCAGGGGACTTCCCTGGATGGCCCACAGACCATGTCTGCCCCGAATGCTCCCTCCCACGAGGTGGGCAGCCTTAGGATACTGGCCCTCTCGCTGCAACCCAGGAGGAGGGGGAGCCCACAGCTCTCCACCCAGCCCAGCACTTGCTTCCGCTCCATGATGTCAACTCCAACCTTACAAGGACCCCTGGGAGCTGGTGGAGGCCTGTGCTGGGGGTGGCCAGGATACCCCGCTGCCCGGCCTGGCACCAGCAGCATAAGAAACAGACCCCCTTAGAGCCTGAAGACGCAAGCCCACATGTGGGCAAGGGCAGCCCAGACAGGGTGTACCCACAGGCTGCCTGGGCCCAGCCACAAGGGCTCCGAGGGCTCTAAGCTGCAAGATCCATGCAGGCAGCCCCGTGGAAGCTGATGGCTTGCTTTCAGAACGACGTTACCTGCTTTTCAGAGCAGAGTTGGTTTTGGGGGCTTAGGAAAAGGTGTTAAGAATTTCCGTGATTCTAAACTTTAAGAAGGCGTCAAACCATTCATAAAAAGGAATGAACCCTTTTCATTCATTCATTGCATTTCATTCATGAATCCTTCGCCCTGGCATACAATTGTCTGTTCACCACAGTGTCGCTGTGAACCTGGGCCCCTCTCTCAACGGTCCTAACATAGCCTTCGCCCTACCTCCTCCGGGCTGTGGCCCCTGCTACAAACCCCCAGGGAAGGGAGCTGGCAGGGCTGGCCGGGTCATCTGGGGTCCCAGGAACAACTGTGCTGTGAGCAAGAGGGACCCCTACCAATGGGATGGACTGAGCCTCCAAACCATGAGGGTCCCTCCAGGACCACCGGGGGTGGGACAGTAGGCAGGGCCTTTCGAGGTACCAGCCTCCCCACCTGTGGGGTAAGGAGAGACCGCAGGTGCCTCCACTCAGAAAACAGTAGCCCGGTGGGTACCGCACCATCACTTCTCTGTTCCTCATCTCCTCCAGGCGGGGTCCAGCCAGGGACCTGCCCCCTTCACCCCTTCAAGCCTTGGCTCCAACACCACCTTCTCCCTACATCCCTGCCAACCCACCTGCTCCCACTCGTTCTGTATTTTCCACAGCACACTGCTCCTCGAGCAGTCCCCCCGCCCCCACCCAGCCCAGCCAGGAGGGGTCTGTCCACTGACAGATTCCAAAGGCCTGGACCTTCTCCCTGTGTGTGTGGTGGAACACGTGGGGCTGAGCTTGCAGGGAGGATGCCCCTGGTCAGGGCTCAGATACCCCAAGTCAAGTCCTGAGACACCCCCTCCCACTGCCCAGGCGTGTTGGGCAAATCCGAAGTGCCCGGCTGAGGTGGGCACGTGTCTGGGACTCAGCACACACCAGGTGAGATAAACACCGCAACCCCTTCCCACCATCCGGGGCAACCCCAGATCCTGGGGTGGTGAGTGAGCCTGGCCAGAACCCCACAAGCCTGGTTGTTCTCTTCAGTAAGGCCAATGGGTGGGGTGGCTCCATTCCCAAGTCCCTGGGGTGGAACACTCAGGCCTTGTGCTCTCTCAATGACCACTCACAAAAGCAGCAGTACTCCCCACCCCGGGCTTCCACTTAGATGAATAAGCATCCTTTCCCCTGAGAGCTGGCCTCCGTGGGACCACAGGGCCATCATGGCAGCAGGGTTGGCCTGCTCAGGGTAAGCAGAGTGCTGGGGACAGCCAGACCTCCATGTGCACTTGGGGCCCTGTGCCCACCCTGACGTGCACACCTGGGGACTGACACGGGCAGTGGGGAGGTCTCCTGGCCAGGACACATGCTAACAGCCTCCAAGGCGCCAGCCACCTTCTGCTCGTCCTCATCGCTGTTGGAGGCCACCAGGGGGGTCTTCCTGGCGACACATACATTCCAGGCACACGGGGAAGCCGGGCCAACTGTAAGACAGGGAGCCAGTGATGTCTGGTGAGGGCGGAGGGGGCCACGGGGCGTGGCTCAGGGCCCCCAAACGTCCGTGGGCCAGCAAGGAGCATGTGAGAGCTTCAGCCTGCAAAAGTGGGAATCTGTCCCATGCCCTGCCTACCATGTGCGTGTCACACGCGTGCGTGTGTATCCGCACATTCATAGGAAATGTACAGAGGGACTGTCCCCCCCCCCCACAGGGAGGGCCCCCACTCAGCCTCGGGGCTTCCAAGTTCCTTACCATGTGGCCCTGAGGGGGCCTGGGGGTCTTCCAAGCATGTCCGATGGGGGACTCAGAGCCAGGGGCTCTGAACAAGCCCTAGGACAGCCACTGAGCTGGCATGGCACACGTGTGTGATTCACACTGAGAAGGCAGCAGGGCCTGGGGAGACTGGCCCGGGTCAGGAAGGCCCTCACTGCCTGCCAGGAGTCCTGGCAGCGCAGACCCATGCACGCTGGTCAGACCTGCACTCCGAGGGCAGCCCGATGGCCTTGCTGCCTGTGCCCGGGGCAAAAGGGGCCCCCATGGACACGGCTCCTCCAGTCCCCTAAGCATGATGCAAACCCCAATATCACCAGGGAGACACGTAGCCCCAAGGCCTTGGCCATATCCTACCCCTCCCATGGAGGCACTCCTGCTCACCGGTTCTCTCCCGGCCCTGGTTCAGGCCACCCTGGGCATCGCCACGGCCCCTGTCCACTGTGGAGCTGCACCTGAGCCCTGACTCGGAGCTGTAGACAAGGCTGAGTCTGAGCCTACGCCGGGGAGACGCCACCCCAGAAGGCAGAGGGGGTTGCCTCCTTGGCCCGCCCCGCCTTACCAGCAGAAAGGCTGGAAGTCAGTGAACTTGGCCCAGCCCTTCTCTTCCAGAGCCGAGGCACTAGGCGCGCTGGCTGCCCACACACTGGAACCCACGTCCATCGCCACTCCCGGGGCTGGCGTCGTTGAGTTCACTGGCTCATCGAACATCGTCCACGTGGCACCTACCCAAGGAGACGCACTTGTCCAGGCCCCTTGACCGGAGCCCTGCGGCCCAGATGGGGCTGGCCATGAGGGCCCACAAGAAGTGCCTTCACACTGGGGTGTGCCTTCACCAACAGGACTGGTAGACACCAGCCATGACGACGTGGCTGAGAGTGACTACGACAGAGAGACAAGGGCTAGGGGCCACCAAGGGCTGAGCCAAAGCACCTGCCACCAACCCTGCATCACTGCAATCGGGCACGGGAAAGCTGCCACCTTCAGGAACATCCGCTTGACAGTGCGTGCAGACAGGGTCAGAAGCCGTCAGGCCCACGGCAGCCCCGTCAAGCGTGGGCCAGGTCACTAAGTTTTCTGTCACCCCAAGTGTCCCCACCCAAGTCTCCCGCCCAGCCCTGACCATGTGCCCCCATTGTCTACCTTCTGGGCCACCTTCCACGCGGGGACTTTCCTTCCAGGCAGCGGCCGGAGGGGTGCCCACCAGAGCTGCATCCCCATCGGCTTCCGAGCCCTCCTTCCCGTCCTGGCCTCCATGCTCCAGGCTGCTCTTTGAGCAGCTCTCTGAGGCATGAGGGCCCCCAAACCTGGAGGGAGACATATGGTCAGAGCAGCAGGACCCCAGAGAGTCTCTTCCTGCACGCCAGAGCGTCACGGCTGGGGTGCACACACAGTGTCCAGAGGCCTCTCTGTTCCTCAGAGAGGCTTGGGGAAAATGGGCAGGCCCCGTACCGGGCTCTGGCCATCACCCGCGTGGTACAGTGTGTCTCCTTGTCCTCCCAGATGTCATCGTCCTCGTCGTCATCAAAGGGCTGGATGTGGTCGCTGCAGCAGGCCTCAAACAGAGCCGCGCTGGGCTGTGAGAGAAAGAGCACCCACGTGGCCCCACAGGGCTCCCAGAGAGGCCTGGACGGACACAGAACTCGCAGGATGGGGCCCACCCGGGTGGGGAAGCAAGGCTCCCACAGAGCAGCCTCTCCTACCCCCACTGCCACCTGCCACCGTGTCCCCCGTCCACCTCCAACGAGCACCAAGCTGTGGGACTCACGCTGTCCTCGTCGGCGTCGATGTTGAAGTTGATCTCTGCGATCCTGTCAAAAGGAGCACTGCAAGAACAACGGAGATGCTCAAGGCCTCGCTGCCGGGGCTGCCCTGGGCTTGTCCTGCAGGCCTCAGCGCCCCTGATATGCTGGGGCCTTTCGCTTGTTCCCTTCGGGGACGCCAGGCACAGCCACACACCATGGGGGACATAACTTCTCACAACACACTGAGAGGGGCCAGGCTGGGCGCCCTGGGGAGGGAACGGGGTGTGACCCCATGCCAAGCCCTGAGGGGGTCTGCAGCCCAGCAGGGGCAGGGGCCAGGGCTAGAGAGGCAAAGGCAGAGCCAAGACCAGGGCGCTGCGGCCTCATCCAGGAACGTGGACGTTACTCCACGGAGGCAGCAGGTGTATGTGGGGTGGGGGCCTGGGATGGAGGGGGCAGCTCTCCACGCCTGCCTCCTCGTCATGCTCACTTGCTTTCTTTCCATCTTTGGATGGAACAGCCTGGGGGTGACTCCTACCAGGGCCCGCTGTGTCCCTGGTCTGCACAGGTGACAATCTGCCTTCCCAGAGAGTGTCTCGGGGGCTGTAGGGGTCATGCTCGGCTCAGCCCCTCTCACAGTGGCTCTGCGTGGTGGGGCCACACTTGGCTTTCAGCTGAGGAAATGGCGCGATGGTCTCGAGGGCCACGCAGGGCCAAAGGGCAGGTCTGGGACATGGTCACTATGAACTGAGCCCAGCTCCTTCCAAAGCGACTGAAGAGGGTAGAATGGGAGGTGGTGGAGGCTTGAATTGGGGCTGGGGTGCACGAGGGAGGTGGCCCAAAGTGACACAGGACGCCTGCTGGAGAAGGCCTGGCAGGTGAACAGCCAGGCCGCGGTAAAGGCAGCCACAGCCCCAGGCACATCCTGGTGGGCTCACTTGACGCTGTCGTCCTGGTCTGCAAACTCCTCGTCATTAAAGCCAAACTGATCCACGAAGGTGGCCGTCATCTGCTGGACCTGGTACTCGGAGAAAGCCTGGGAGAGACAGGCATCGCGGGGCAGGCCTCAGACCCGAGCTGCTCTTAGAAAAATCTCACTAGGGCTCAGGAGCTGCTCCCTGATCCTGACCACTCAGGGCACCAGCCACGTGTGGTCACGTCCAGACAGCCTTCTTTACTTTAACTTTCAATTTTTCCACCATGCCCCCAAGGGTCTCAGCAACATGAAGTGGCTCTGGGGTCTTCCCCTAATTAAATGGTGAGTGGGGGCTGCACCCCTGGCCCCCCTCCCCCGCACGGGGTCGTGTGCGGGGATGAGCACCTCTCCCCTTGGCAATTTCCCACGGCAGTTTGGTGCGATGCCATCGAGAAGCCCTAGAGGCCTAAGTGCTGCCAAGGGCGTGGGAAAGGGCCTGGCCGAGGGCTGCAGAGCCTGGCCACACGCACCTGCTGAAGGGACAGCTCGTTAGGGAAAACGCCCTCCATGTCCTCATCCTCACTCGAGGGGTGAAGGTGGTGGGTGCTTACCTGAAACAGCCAGAGGGGGGTGGGCATGAACCCCGCATCCTAGGGCTAGTGCCCAACCTGCCCCTCCCGCGGGCACAAGGAGCCCTCCAAGGACACACTAGGGCTCCTGATATGACAGGGAAGGGACCGAGGGGGCAATGCCAGCTCTGCTCAGAGAGCCTTGGGAGCCCTCACTCTGAGCCAGCCTGGGGCCTGAGGCGGGAGGGGCCTGCGTCCGGACACCGAGCCAGAGGCTCCACTGCTCACTCCTGGGCCACACGGGCCCACACATGCGTGACAAGCAGACAGGAGCACGCAGCCCACACACAGTGCTGCATCTGTGGCCGCAGCGTCAGCTGGCATCACGTGGCGAGAACAGCCCAGGCCCCTTACCAGGTCCACGGCGTTCCTACGGTTGGTCTCCGTCAGCGTCTCCTCCACGAAGCTCTCCCAGCGCCCACGGCAATCCGCGGGGAGCCCTGCAAGGGAACATCACCTGGTGAAGACTTGGGACAGAGCCGGCAGCTTCATCCTGGTCCTGCAAGGGTTTGGGAGGGCCCCTGCGGTGACATCTGAGGGCTGCTGGCAGGGAAGAAGGCCAAAGCAGCCGGGGGCAAGAGGGCACATGGGACTGAGCCTGACCTCAGCAGGTGACAGAGCCCAGAGCATACTTGGCACACCAGCCAACCCCAGGAGATCCCACACAATGGAGAAACCACGGAGCAAGGTTGCTGTGGAAAAGCAACTCAGGCCCGCCTTGACAGAACCCACAGGCCTGTGTGTATCTGTTTTTCTGGGGAGGTCAGAGCCTCAGGAAGATTCACGGTCCAGAAACAGTGAGGGAAGCTCATGGCAGAGCTTTCTGCTTGCCCCTCACTCCCAAACTGGGCCCCCACCCACTCTGCTCTGCCCTTGCTTTGTGGCTGCACCTCCCTGGGCCCGCACGCCCTCGTCACAGGTGCCAATGGACCAGTGGGCCTGACCCCAGCCTGGAGACCACTGACTGAGAACAGCCCCTGCTTCCATCCTGGAAGGCCACCTGGAGTTTCCTCAGCTCACAACTGCCCCTGTGGACACGGCTGAGATCACCTGAGGGGTTCACCACGAGGCCAGTCTGGCGAGGCCACAAGTCTGTGCCCACGGTGGCCACACCTGCTACACAACCAACTTGACCATCTGCAGTGCAGCTTCCTCAGCTGCGTGACGGGGACAAACTCCAGCACCTCCCCTGGGCCTGCTCTAGGCTCACAACACCCGCAGCCCCCAGATGGGACCCTAGCCCACCCGCAGCAGCACGACCATCTTCTCACACCCCCTGCAGGGCCCTAGGTTCACACCCTCATGCAAACACTGTTCACTGAGCACAAGTGGCCATCGTACCCTTGGCCAGCCCTGTCCTCAGGCCCCCTACATGGGGCTGAGGGCAAACTGTCCTAGCCATGAAGCTGGTGTGGCCAACACCCCCCCACACCCTCGGGGTCCTGGCCTCTGTGGGTCCTTGCCTTCCGTCACCCTCAGGCCCTCCTCCACTCACTCGTGAACACTCCACCTCCTGGCCATCTCCGAGTCCACCTGCCTGTCCGGTGGAGCAGGGTGTGCCCAAGCTCCTGTGCCTCTTGACACACTGGGCACACCCTGCTCAGGCTGACCCAGGCATCCTCCTCCCCAGCAAGGCCACATGGGTCCTCTGAGCTGCCCGCTCTCCCCTGTCTGAACTGAGACCCCCTTGGGTCCTCCCTGGCTCAGCCCAGGAAGCCTGGCGCCTGGGAGCTGCACACTGTGTGCCCAGAACATTAGAGGGCCAGAAAGGGACATGGGAGGCAGGCCCTGAGTTTAGGGGGGGCAGGGCAGCGGCCCTGGAGCACCAAGCAGGAAGAAGCTCAGGGTGGCAGGTGTCTCAGGCTGAGGGCAGAGGTGACGCCTGGCTAGGGGAGGTGCTGCCTTTGCTTGGGCCCCACAGGGCTGGGGCCCCAAAGCCTGCTCTCAGGGAACAGAAGCCCTTCTCCCAGTTCCCCACACTTGTGCCAGGAAGGTCCCCAAAGCTGCCTGAGTTCAGAGCGAAGCTGGGCTGTGCAGCAGGAGTGTGGGTGTTAGGCAGGACTTGGGGTGAACCTAGTGATGCCTGTGCTGCTGAGCACCGGCCACTGAAGCGTGAACTGCCCAGCAGGCACCTGAGAGGGTCTCCTGGCACAAGACCCTCCACAGGTGTCTGCCCAACAGAACTGACATCCAGACCAGGCCCAGACCGAGAGGAGATCTCACCAGGTGAGCCGACTATCCTGGTACCAGTGCAGTTACCACCAGCTGAGGCGCTGGAGGGCAGGAGGCAGAGGGCAGGGCGCAGGAAGCCAGGGCAGCCTCAGGCTGTGACACCCAGAACAGGGTTCCTGCTACCAAGAGGGCAATGAGGGCAGGAGGGGCTCACCTCGGATGATCTCACTAATGTGGGTCTGCACAGGGCCCCTCTCCAGGTTCTGTACCACCGCGTTGGCGATCCGGGTGAGGTGGCCCATGTTTCCACGCCTCCTGCCACCCGCTGCCCTGCAAGTGAACAGCAGTATCAGGGTGGCCGCCCGGCTTTTCTTCACTGTGCGTCCACCCGGGCCCCAGATCCCGCTGCCCACAGCCCTCCAACGGGCTTACTTACCACAGGCCCCCCACAACCCCCACGAATCCCTCCTCACAGCCTTGTCTGCAGGACACTTATTTTTGGAAGTCACTCCCAAGAAGTCCTAATGAGGCAGACACTACTCCTACCCTCACTGTACAGACCAGAAAACTGAGGCAGCCGTGTGGCAAGAGCTGAGCCCAGCGGTGTGGGGCCGCACAGCTCACGTTCCCCACGCTGCACCACGTGGCCCTCGATGCCAGTGGGCCACCCTGCGGGCCTGGTCCAGTGCTACACCCCTGGAGCCACACTCATATACCTCCAGCTGTCCCTGTTCCCAGAGCCCCTCCCAGCATCGCCCAGAGCCGAACGACTGACCCACGGGAACGCCTGGTGAAGCAGAAGACGTAGGAAGATTAAAATGAAAACCCATCCCTGCTGCAAGTGCTGACCCAGGGAGTCCCGGGCTCTCAGGGAAGATCAAGAACAGACAGGGGACCCGGAAGTGGGCAGGGGCAGAACAGCAGGGTAGCAGCAGCTGGAGGGGGCCTGTCACTGCCTGGCTCTCCAGCTCTGCATGTTGCCTCCCCTCACCGAGCTCTACGCCCAGAAGCACAAGTCCTGGCTTCTATCCACCTTTATGTCCCATGCTGCCACGAACACACGGCTCTGCTTAACCTCTCACCCACCACACACACAATCCAACAGAGGACCAACCCTTAAAACCCCTGATGAGTCCGGGAGAGCCTTAGATATAAGACGACCCCACATCTAGAAGCACAGCATTCGATCACAAGAGTGGACAGGGCTTGCTCTCCACCTTGTTCTCTCTCCCAAGAGCCTGAAATGACCCCAGAAGAAAGAACAAAGGTGAGTTCCCGAGTCGGGAAGCCCAGCTAGGCAGGGCAAGGGGTCAGGAGAGAACCTGGCGGGACCAGCCCACAGGAGAGGCTGGGATGAGGGTGGAGGCCTTGAGCAGCTGTCCAGCATGCAGGAGGGCTGAGCTGGGCTGAGGCTGGCCAGGGCCAAGGCCTGGAGATGTCCAGGCTCACAGGCCTGTCCACAGCCTGCCAGGGGTCTTAACTTCAGTGACAGTGGTGAGCCCTCCCCCGACAAAGGCACACATATGCACAATGTACAAGAGCAGGCTCAGCACAGGGCCGCATTGGGTACAACAAGGACCAGGCCCAGAGGAAGGGACAGACGGCCCCCCATCCTGCACATTATACTGTATATCCCAGAGTGGACACAAATTGGTGGGTTCAGTAACAGCAGGACGTAAGGGATGAAGCAGATGAGGTCAGAAAGTGCCCCCAGGAGCAGCACTCAGATCAAGGGTGGGGCTGCCTACACTGGACCCTGCAGGCCACACCAAGGACCTGGGTGGTCCAGACTTTCAGACAGGGGTGACACCATCTGCGTGTCTCAGAAAGATCCCAGTTGTTGTTCACGTGACAATAGGCCCAGTGGGTAGGGAAAGAACCAGGAAGTGGCCTGGATACTCCTTCAAGGGGCTGAAAGTTTAGTAAGAGAAGTGGCTCGTGGCTGGGAAGGCGAGATGGGAAGATTTGGAACACTCTGTGGGCTTAGGATTGGGGTCTCTGCTGATGGATGGGTGAGGGAGCAGGAGGGTGAGAAGGCCCATGGAGTCGGGCTGGTGCGAGGAGCCAGCGAGGACCAGGACCGGGGACCGAGGCTGCTCTGCTGACCACAGCCTAGGCCCCACGTCACTCGGCCCAGCAGCAGAACCCTCTTCTGGAACCAAGCCTTCCCTGGCCACCCGGGGCCCCACACCAAGCCCCTCAGGCACATTCCCTCACAACACCCCAGTGGTTCTTACTGCGTGTGGTCATTGGCTTCCCAGGCCTCCAGGATCCTCTGGACTAGACAGCACTTCTGGAACAGCTGAGGGGACAGGCAGCACTGGTCAGGGTCTGCAGAGCTGCACGCCCCGCTCCATCCACCCCTGGACTGAGTGGGCTTAGCAGGCAGCGAGCAGGCACATCAGCACCAAGGTCTCTGTGGGCGGTGACACCAGTACAGCCTTGCTCTGCAGCTCCCACACTAGAATAGGTGCTGCCCAGGCCCGCACAGGATCACGCTGCTGAGAGCCCGCCAAGTGAAGACCAGGGTCACACAGGACATTCCCGTTCGGCTTGGCTTCCTCCCACCTATCACCTCCTCCTCCACCTCTGGCCACTCTCCCACCTCCTCTGTCCAGAAGGAAGGACTGGGGCCCGAGTGCTTCCTCTCCAGGCCCTGACAGGCTATCTCCTGTCCCTGGCATGTTTGTTCTGGGCCTCAACTTGCACCCCCACCGCACATGTGGTCTCATTATCTGGATGGGGTCCCTCATTGGCCTGCAAAGCCCCTGCACACTCCCACCCATGTTGCTCTCATCATTGAAAGAGCCTGCCCCTTGGCTGTTTATCCCCGGGCTATTGTCCAGCTCAGGCCTGCACACCGCAGGTGTCCAGGACACTTGTCAAAGGCAGGCAGTAATGAGGCCTCTAGCATCCGCTCAAGCCCGCACCCTCTATGAGGCCTCTGACCAGAGACCCAGGGGCCCCCTTTCCAAGCCTCTGTCTTTCCTGTCTGAGCCTTGCAGCCAGCCCAAGGAGCAGGGCCATACGCTAACAGACCCCGGCTTTCCCAGGGAAGCATTCACAAGTAGGCTCCTTGGCACTGGGAGGGGGTTCTGTGCTATTTCTTCATGCTCCAGGCACCTGAGTCCTTGCTTCCCTCCTCTTGTCTTTAGCAGACACTTACTAAGGCCTACTCTCTGCCAGGCACGACACTAGCTGTCTTGGACAGAGAAGGAGACCCAGACTCGGACACCAGGTGTGTGCCTGCCCCCACAGCCCATGGCAGAGCCGCGTAAGCGCCCAGCTGAGCAGCGGTCCCAGAGGTGGGCTTCGTGTGAAGCACTCATGGGCGACTAGGAAAGTGCTGGGTGAAGAAAAGAGAGAGGAGTGTACGTCGAGGATTCATGCCCACAGTTTCAAAAGGTCCAGAATCCTAGAAAGTTTCTCCACGAGACGCATTCTTTCTTTCCCTCGCATTCTCCCTTCATGGCCTCACCATGAGGGCAGCAAACATGACATGGCAGAATGCCTGGAAGGAGGAGACTCTGGGGCAGTGTCCAGCTGGCTCCCTCCCTCTTGCGGTGGGCTGCAGCCCACAAGGGGCCAGACCAACCTGGTGTGAAGGCTCCTCCCAAGCCCTCACTTCACCAGCTCTGAGGCCCTGGCCCTGGCAAACGTGGACACTTTCTTTGTGATTTCCTATCCCATGGGTAAAAGAAGGGCAGCAATCCCATGTCACAGGAGGGTCAGAGGAGAAAAAGCATGAGGGCAGGGCAGTGCAGGCCACAGAGGGCTTGCCTCAACATTAATGTCCAGCAGTCTGGGTGGGGCAGCACACAGGACACAGAGCAACACACAGGACACTGGCTGAACTTACATGGGTCACCATTGTGTTCTCTGGGCGGCCTGCGGCAGGCTGGGGGGCCTCTGGCTCCCTGTTCTTGGCCAGAGGCTCAACCCCACTCTCGGGTCCACTGGCTTCTGCCCTGTCCTCCCGGGCAGCATGGGAGAGAATAGCGGCTATGCATAGCTCCACTTGGAAGTGCAGAAAGTTATTCCAGGTGTACTTAAAAAATAGGTCCTGGGTAGACAGATGAAAGAGGAAAGTCCTCAGACTGGTTTTCTCCTGACAGCGGGCCCACAATGGCAAGGGGATCGCTGGTATCCGGCGCACCATTCCCACAGGCTGTCTCCTGACTGTCTGGCAGCCAGGCAGATGCTGAGGGCATTTCCTCGGGATCGTCCCTTTGTTAGGAATGTTTGCAAAGAGTCGCCTGCCCTTCCATCTCCAGCCTGCTGCTGTGTTTCTGTCTCATTCATTTCTGCTCTTATCTGAACACTTTCTGTGGGTTTATCCTTTTGTCCTTAGAAGCTTAACTCATTAATTTTTAGCCTTCCTTCTTTCCCAGTACAGTCTTTAAAAGGCTCTACATTTCCTTGTAAAATCCACTTTAGCTACATTTTACACATTTCGTAGTTTATGATTTTGTCTTTGACCCACGAGTTATAGGAAGTGTGTTAAATTCTCAAATACCTAGGGATTCCGTGGAGGAGGAACATGAAGTCAGGAAGTGCACATGTGGACCCTCCCCAGGGGAGCCACACAGGCTGAAGCCCAGAGGAGCTGAATGAGGACACAGCCTCTTCCAGACCAGGGCGGGGGACACAGCAGCCTGGCCCTGAGTCTCTGACCCCTTAAGCCCATAGCGAAGCACCGGTAGGGTGGGGTGACAAAGGAATGCCTATCTGCGCCCCCCGGCCACCTCACACACAGCAGGGGCCACAGGCAGCCCCTCAGCTGCCTGCACAGGAGGAGGGTGGGGTGTGCAGGGTAGGAAGATGAGGCAGGGGGATGGGGTGTAGACTCCACCCTGGGATATGAGTTTGGGCCCCTCCTTCACCTCAGGGAGTTGGAAGCTGGACAAAGGCAGGAAGTCCATCTGATTGACATAGTTTTCCTCCATAGAAACATAGTCTTGAATCCTAGCTTCACCTTCTCTGCCTGTGTGACCTTGAGTGACCTTGGAAGTGGCCTCACTGTGTTACCTCATCTTCAACACAGAGTCATACCCATTTCCCAAAAAAGAAAAGCCCAGACCAGACGACCTCACCGGTGAATTTTACAAAACATTTAAAAAAGAATTGACAACAGCAATCTTTCTCAAACTCTTCCAAAATATTGAAAAGAAAGGAACATTTTCTGATTTTTCCTATGAGGCAAGCATTGCCCTGATACCAAAGCCAGAAAAAGATATCAAAAGAAAACTAAAGACCAATATCCTTTATGAACACACATAAAAAATCCTCAACAAAATACTAACAAACCAAATTCAGTAGCATATTAAAAGGATTATATACCATGACCAACTGGAATCTATTCCTGGAAGGCAAGATGGTTCAACATATGAAAATCAGTCAATATAGTACACTGTATTAAAAGAATGAAGGATAAAAACCACATAATCATCTCAACTGATACTGAAAAAGCATTTGACAAAATTCAACACATTTTCTTGATAAAAACACTTAACAAACGAGAAATAGAAGGAAACTTCCTGAACATGATACAAGGCATCTACAACAAGCCATCAGCTGACATCATACTCAGTGTTGAAAGACTAATAGCTTTTCCTCCAAGATCAGGAACAAGCAAGGAGGTCTGCATTCGCCACTTCTATTGAACATCGCACTGGAAGTCCTAGCCAGAGCAAACGAACAAGAAAAAGAAATAAAAGGCATCCAAACTGGACAAGAAGAAGTAAAATTACCTCTTTTCACAGATAGACACTATCTTACATGTAGAAAATTCTACAGATTCCACATAAACTATTAGAACTAATAAACAAATTCAGCAAAGTTTAAAGATACAAATCAAGACATAAAAATCAGTTGCATTTCTATACACTAACAGTGAACAATCCAAAGAAAAAAATTAAGAAAATAATTCCATTTACAATAGCATTCAAAAGAATAAAATACTTAGGAATAAATTAACCCTAGGAGGTGAAAGACTTGTACACTGAAAAGTATACAACAATGCGGAAAGACATCTGTTTTCATGGATTGGAAGACTTAAATTTGTTAAGATGACAATGCTACCCAAAGCGATCTACATATTCAATACAATGTCTATCAAAATCCCAATGGCATTTTTCCATACATAGAGGAAAAAACCCATTCTAAAATTCATATGGAATTTAAGGGTTCCCCAAAACCCAAAACAATCTTGAAAAAGAAGAACAAAGTTGCAAGAGTCACACTTTCTGATTTCAAAACTTGGTACAAAGCTACAGTAATCAAAACAGTGTGGCACTGGCCATGAGGACAGATGTAGAGATCAGCGGAACAGAATAGAGTCCAGAAATAAGTCCTCGTATATATGGTCAACTGATTTTCAACAAGTGGCCAAGACCATTCAATGGGGGAAAGGACAGTCTTTTAAACAAATGGTGCTAGGAAAACTGAATATCCACAGGCAAAAGAAGGAAGGCGGACCCTTACCTTACACTACATATAAAAATTAACTCAAAATAGATCAAAGACCTAATAGAGCTAAAACTATAAAACTCCTAGAAGAAAACATAGGGGGAAAGCTTCATGACAGTGGATTAGGCAATGATTTCTTGATACGACGTCAAAAGCACAAGCAAAAAAGAAAAAAAAAGATAAATTGGACTTCGTCAAAATTAAAAACTTTTGTATGTCAAAGGATACTATCAAGAGAGTGAAAAGGTAACCCACAGAATGGGAGAAAATATTTGCACATCATATATCTGATAAGGGTTTAATATTCACAATATATAAGGAGCTCTTACAACTCAACAACAACAAAAAACCCAATTTAAAACTGGGCAAAGAACTTGAATACGATATTTCTCCAAAGAAGATATACAAATGGCCAACAAAAGCACATGAAAAGATGCTCAATATTACTAATCATTAGGGAACTGCAAATCAAAACCACCATGAGATACCACTACACAACCATTAGGATGGCTATCATCAAAAAAACAGAAAACAAGTGTTGGCAAGGATGTGGAGAAATTGGAACCTTCATACATTGCTAGTGGGAATGTAAAACAGTATAGCCACTGATAAAAAGTTTGTTTGTTCTCCAAAAAGTTGAACATAGAATTACTATATGACCCATCAATGCAACTTCTAGGTACATACTCAAAAGAAGTGAAAGCAGGGACTCAAAGAGATATATGTACATCTATGTTTACTGCAGCACTATTCAAAACAGCCAAAAGGTGGAAGCAACCCAAGTGTCTCTCAACCGACGAATGGATAAACAAAATGTGGTCTGTTTATACAGTGGGATATTATTCAGCCTTAAAAATGAAGGAAATCCTGACACATGCTACACCATGGATAAACCTTGAGGACATAATGCAAAGTGAAATAAGCCAGACACAAAAGGCCAAATACTGTATGATTCCACTTCTACGAGGCACTTAAGAGAAGTCAAACTCATAGAGACATAAAGCAGAATGGTGGGTGCCAGAGGCTGGGGGAGCAGAATGGGGATCGATTGCTTAAAGGTCAGAGTTTCTGTTTGAGAAGATGAAAAAGTTCTGGAAATAGATAGTGGTAATGGTTATACAACACTGTGAATGTACTTAATGTCACCGAATTGCTCACTTAAAAATTATCAAAATGGTAAATTGTGTTATATATATTTTACCACAATAAAATAAAAGTAAAAAAGGGAGCACGGGGGAGAGAGAAAAATTTTTTTTGAAGAGAGGAAAAGGAAAGGCCCCCTGATCCATATCTGGGATTTTACAGTCACAGCAGTGCCCAATGGACTTCCCAAACGCTGGAAGAACTTCAGAGACAGTCAGTACTTCAAGTCCAGTTCCAAGGCAGGCTCCTTCTGGGATTAAGATGTAAATTTCAAGAGCTTTCAGCTTCCTGGGAGCAGAGGCTCAAGGGAAAGACCAAAGAGAAGCCAGCGGACTGCACCTGCCCGTGGTGCACACTTAGGGCAAAGCCCCCTTCCCAACAGCATGCTCTTTCCACAGCAGGGCCTGCTATCCACAGCCAGCACTGCTCTGCTGTCACTGCCTGGCTGCCCGACCCTCAGACACCTGGGGTGGCTGCAGGCAACTGGGAAGAACTGCTAGGCGACCTATTATGGGAGACTGGCGGTTCTCTTTTAGGATATTTTACGTTGTTTTTTTTTTTTTTTTTAATCTGAGACTTTTCTTTTTTTTTTTAATAATTTTATTTTATTTTTTTTCCTCCAAAGCCCCAGTAGATAGTTGTACATCATAGTTTCACATCCTTCTAGTTGCTGTACGTGGGACGCGGCCTCAGCATGGCCGGAGAAGCGGTGCGTCGGTGCGTGCCCGGGATCCAAACCCGGGCCGCCAGCAGCAGAGCGTGCGCACTTAACCGCTAAGCCACGGGGCCAGCCCAGGACATTTTATGTTGAAGAGCTACAATGAAAGTTCTATCTTAAGTGAGAAATCAGAAAGAAGATGGATCATACTACCCCATTCCCTCAAACAGGATTAGAAATCTGCCCTCTGCTTTCAGGGCAATTCTCTGTCAGCCTGCACTGATGCGTGTCCCCCTGTCGCTCAGTGTGCTTCAAGCCTGGGGTGGGTCTAGGAAATGCTTTCTCAGTTCAGACTGTGCCTGTTCCAGGACTAAACCAGAGCCTCCCCTCAGGCAGATCCTTATCCAGGTGCTGAGGTCCAGCTGCCTGCCCCTGATGGACCCTGCCCTGCTGCACCTGCCCCGCCTGCCCACCTGCCACCGACTGTGGGAGACACATGGACAGGCAGGCAGGGCTGGCAGCAGTGCCCACTTACCAGCAGCAAGCCCATGGTGTTGAGTCGGCAGAGTTCCTGGTTGATGCTGGGCGTGTTGGTGTGTAGCAGTGCAGCCATGAGGCGGGCGCCATGCAGACGGGCGTTCCCCAGGGGCTCCTCCAGCACGCCGATGGTGGTCAGGATTGCTTTTTTCTGCAAACACAGAAGCACTGCCCAGTTGGAACCTTGCAACCAGCGTGGCCACTGTTGGGTTCTCTTAGCTCAGGTGCCAACTGCTTAAAGGGCCAGGGCTGCTGCTCCACGACATGGCCCAGCCTGAGGAAGAGTAGCGGGGGGTGTGTGTGTGTGGGGGGGGGGTCCTCAAGGCCGCGTTGCCTGGGAGAGGAAATGAGGAATCAGTGGGGTTAAGAACCTCACTGCTCCCCTCAGGGCCTCACAAAAGAGTGAGTGAGGGTGGTCCGCTGCTCCCAGAAGCCCAGGGTATTCTGGTCTCAGCCTGCTAGCCAAAGGGATGTGTCCAAGACGGGGTCAGCTCTGTCTGGAAACACAGTCTTGGGACACTGAGCTAACAGACACCCCGTGAATACTGTCGGAGGAGACTGATGACAAGCCGGCCTTGTCAGACCAGATGCGGGTGTTTTTTGATCCTTTTCATTAACGGAATGTTTCAGAATCCCTGCCTTCACAAAGCTTACTTTCTAGCGGGGGAGGCAGACAATAAGCAAGTTGATAAGCAGATAGTACAGTTGATCATGATGCATGCTAAGGAGAAGCACTGAGGATAGGGGAACAGGCTGTGACTAGAGAGAGGGGCTCATGGCTGGTAGGAGGGTGGCCCTGGGTGGCAGCTGAAGGACTGAAGGTGATGAGGGAGTGAACCCACTTATCGTGAGCCAAGCACTGCCCAGAGCTGCTGAGCTGAGCAAAGGGCCTCCCCTGGGACCCCCTGACCCTTGGCTGGGTACCCTCAACCAGGAGACCAGGCCTTTGGTGAACTCGGGCTCTCAGGCGACCACCTATTTCAGAACGCAAGAGTCAGCTGGGGGGCTGCAAACTAACTCCCAGGCCTCACCTAAGAGAAGAGATGGACAGTAAGCAGATAGGGGTCTGAAAATATGCCTCTGGTATCTGCCTGGTGGTTCTCAAGTCAGGGTCTGGGAACAGCAGTGTTTGAGTGTGTTCACTCACTCTGGATAAACTGTGGAGTCCTCTGCTTGCAAATCATCCTAGCCTACAATGTCTCCTAAGGCACCCAACAGCTGTTCAAGGTCATCTACCTTTGGCGGGCTGAGCAGAAGCTGGTGGAAGTCCTTCAGTCGTGGCTCAATGCCGTCCAGAATGCTGCCACTGACAGTGTACAATCTCTCCAGTCCCTGAGAAAAGGAGTCCACCAAGCCCTCTGTCCTGCAGGAGAGGAGAGCAGAGGATGGAGGCACAGGAGGAACACCTCCACTCATGTCTCAAGAGTGGTTTGGTGACTACACAGAGACAAGAGAATGGCGCCAAAGGCCTTAGGAAGTGCTCCCAGGTGACAGCCAAGAGCACCACCCCTCGGCCCCACTCCTGACAGGCTGGTGGCACGTCACACTCACTGGAACCATCTCTGCTCCCCTCCTCCTGCTCTGAAAATATTCACACTTGTCCCCACTCCTCTGCTGAGAAACAGGAGACAGGACCAGCCCCCACTTTCCCTCTGGCTTTTTCAAGCTAATTTCTCTGAGATCTTTATTTAAACACTTGTTCCAATTATAAGAGTAATACATGACCATTATAGAAAAAAAATTTTAAATACATAAAAGGATAAAAAAGCTGTTTTCCTAATTTTTATGCTGTCCCTTCATCTCAGACAAGGCTGGGCAAAGCCCTGAGAAGAGTCCTCACTTAGGGCAGAGAAGGCCCAGGCTGCCTTGGTTCACAAAGATGAAAAAATCAGTATTCAGGATGCCAGACTAGAGAAAACGATGATAACATCATAATTTCTATTTTTGGGTAATAAACTAATAAATATGTATCGGGTACTAGAGAAAGAGAAAAAATGTTAATAATCTTACTATCAAGATTAAATCAATTTCTTGTCATTTTCTTGTTCTTTTTTCTGTCTTTTAAACAAAAACGTAAGGGCTATCAGTGCTGGGGCTACTAAGAAGTCCTCTCCAGCACAGGAAATAAAGGAACTGCAGTCACCGTGGGAGTCAGATCACTCCCACAGAGGGACAGAGCAGACAGAAGCACATACACACACACACCACACACACACACAACACACAAGTGCTGTGAGGCCTCATTGGGACAGTCCTTTGGGAAACCCACAGGCTGTATCTATTCCACAAACATGACTATAACACTCCGCCATCTGGCGACAGTGGGAGCCTTTGAGCTGAGGAGGGAACACGATTGATGGCAAAGGTCAAAGGGGCCTTGGCCACAGCCATAAAGTTTACCTTTTCAACAAGGAGAATCTATCCACGGGATTACTTACATTATTACAAATTAGTTAAAAAACACAAACACACTCAGACCGCTCATTTGGGCTGCGTGTCAGTGAGGTGTCACATTCAGCTCTCCCACAATGTTTTCCCTCATGAAAGACACTCACCCAGCCCGCCTTGTCTCTAACAAGGTAAGTAACACCTGAGTCCCATTGACGAGGCAGCTCTCAGTCTGGTCTCCATCAAACATGTTCGTCAGAAGCTGCTCCACGCAGTCCTGCCTGTCAGACACACACAGAGGTCACTGCCTGACAGAGCAGATGCACAGACAAATGTCCAAAGGACAGTCTCTCCTCTCCGTGGAGAGGCAACACCCTAAAACCCAGACGGGCTTTGCTGGGGCTGCAGGCCAGGCCCCACGGGTTCTCACAACACTCCTGCCCCTGCTGGCCCAGACTCGCTGGACCTGCCAGGAGACCCCTCCAAAGAGAAATAGGCCCATCGAGTTAACTCTGGATAGGGGTGAGCATTTCTGAATCAGAGGAGGTGGCAGTGTCTCCTGGTACTCAGAACAGGGCTTGGAGACGTCCTCAAGACTCCGAAAGACCCCTGGCACCCACCCAGCCAGACCCACCAGCACCGTGGCCAGCACTCACGACTCCAGCACTGTGAGGAGGGGGTCTGGCTCTGGAGCCTCTTGCAGCTGACTGCCCTGCTCTCTGCCCAGCCTGACGATGTCACAGAGAGTCTGAGAAGCATTGGACTGCCTCTGAAAAGACAAGGGAACCGCAGCACTCCCTCAGGGCCAAGGAGAAACTGTGGCAGAGCTTGCCTGCTGGACAAGCAGCCATCCTGCTGCTTAGCTCTTAGGAAGATGCTGAACTCTCTCGAAACTAGTTCATTTCTGAGACGCCTGGTCTGCCTTTCACTATGGGCATGCAGATCTGGTCAGACTTTTTAGCTGTACTCAACAATCCCCAATAGTTCAAATGGGGCTCTCAATGGTCAACCATGCCACATAAATATTGTTCTATCCCTTGGACCAATTTTGAGATAGCCTGCATATGAGAGACCACATTATTGATACTGTATTTTATTTTTTTTTATACTGTTTATTTTATTTTTTTTATTTATTTATTTTTCCCCCCAAAGCCCCAGTAGATAGTTGGATGTCATAGCTGCACATCCTTCTAGTTGCTGTATGTGGGACGCGGCCTCAGCATGGCCGGAGAAGCGGTGCGTCGGTGCACGCTCGGGATCCGAACCCGGGCCGCCAGCAGCGGAGCACGCGCACTTAACCGCTAAGCCACGGGGCCGGCCTGATACTGTATTTTAAATTAACAAGCAGCTACTAATATTCAGAATGAGTCCTGTGAGCTAATGAAAATATGAAAGTTGCTACAGAGAAAACAAAGGACTCAAGTTTTCTAGGGAAACATTAACCCCGTGAAAATTTGGTGTCTCTGATTCAGTGTACTTGCCAACAACGTAGGGGCATTCTGTGGAGTATTCAGATGATTATGATTAAGAGAAACTCAGCCCCTGCCTCCTTTCAGGGAGCGTCCGAACATGCAGCCTCGACGTGCATGCTGTGGGGACACTGGGCTAAAGCAAGCGCTTGCATGAGTATGTGAGGGAAAAATGAAAGCAGCCAGCTTGGCTCTGTGGCCTCGCACCTGCCTCTGGGCCCAGGAACAGGTCAGTCAGCCCACAGTGCTCACACTGATGGAGAGGCATCCTCCTTTCTCAATCTGGAGCGCAGAAACCCTCACCCAGCTGTCTGGCCAGCCCCACAAGCTAAGAGGAACAAAAAACAGCATGGCCAGGCAACAGCAGCAAAGGCTCAAACATGAGTCTGCACAACTGTTCTCAAAATTGCTAAAGAGATCGTGTATGTTTAGTTTTGTCATGTGTAGAAAAAGGCCTATCAGGATATACCCCAAACTCTCAACAGTGATTACTGTAGGGAGCAGGGAGGGGGCCAGGAGAGGAAGCCCCATTGGCACCTCACATGCTTCTATATTGGCAGTGGGGGCTTCCTTCCAGAGCTCACACCCTTGTAAATCCCACCTCCTTGAGCGTAGGCTGGAACTAGAGAGCAGAATACAGCCACAGTGAGGACTGCCACTTCTAAAATAAGTTTGCAGAAGAACGACTTCCATCTTGCTTACCCCAAGGGAAGCCAGCAGCCACACTGTGAGCTGCACTGTGGAGAGGCCCATGTAGCATAGAACTGAGGGTGGCCTCAGGGAGCAGCCCTCAAGGAACTGAGTCCTGTTGACTCACTGGTGACCGTGGAAGTGGACCTTCCCCTAATCAAGCCCTGAGATGACCACAATCTTGTGAAACTCCCTGGGCAGAGGACCTGCGAAGCTGTGGCCAGACCCATAGAAACTGAGATAAAAAATACCTGTCATAAGCAACTAAGTTTGAGGGTAATTTGTCACTCTGCAATAGACAACTAATACAATGTTGTTCGAATAGTTTTTTATTTTTATTTTTTATTTATTTTTTTGTGTGTGAGGAAGATCAGCCCTGAGCTAACATCTGATGCCAATCCTCCTCTTTTTTTCTGAGGAAGCTTGGCCCTGAGCTAACATCCGTGCCCATCTTCCTCCACTTTATATGGGACGCTGCCACAGCATGGCTTGACAAGCAGTGTGTCGGTGCACGCGCGGGATCCGAACCGGCGAACCCCGGGCCGCCGCAGCGGAGCACGCACACTTAACCACTTGCGCCACTGGGCCGGCCCCTCGAATAGTTTTTTATAATATGTATGTATTATTTAGTAAAAAGAAAACTCCAGAAGTCAGTGCTTGATTAAAGGAAGAACAGTATCTAATTGGTCTCGTGAGGAAAGGAGTGACTTGCCCCTCAGAAAGCAGCAGAGGGCGCTCTCCAGCAGCCTGGAGCGTGGGCTCATGCCAGAAGGGGGCTCTGTGAGGGCCATACTCACATCTTCATCCTGACTTGGGTGGATCAACTCCACGAGTCTCTGGATGATCTTCTCTTCATTAAGCCACTGAAAGGGAAAAAGAGGCCTGTCAATGACTCTGCTCACATCTAATTAAATGGAAGACAAGTCCTTCAGTGCAGCAGAAATCCACGAGCCAGGTTCCGGGGACAGAGATCTTTGCCCAACATGTGTGTCCACCCAGACCCAGAAAGAACAAGCAGTGACCAAATTCTGGAGTGACCCAAAGTTTATAAACAAGGGAATCACTGTCCATATGTTCTAACGGTGCAGACTCTTAAACATATGCAAGCTCTGTCTTCAGAACATCTTGGAAGACAGAAGGAGCTGGAGCCTGAAGCCACTTGACCGCTGATGGGGCTCTCCCAGTGCACAACCCGGCGGGACACATAGGCCCAGGTAAACCTCCGTTCCTTGCGGCACTGGGGCCTTTCCAAGATCAGGAGGAGCAAAACGACCCTGCTGAGACCACAGGAGCATTGACCTGAGGCCTAAAGTGCTCAACGCTGTTCCAGGTCTAAGAGCAATGAAGCCCCAGGCAAGCATGGGTCACGCCTGGCTCCTCCATTACACTCTCTTACCCAAAAATGGGATAATCTGCCCCCTATGGCTGCTCAGTATACAGTGAGTGCAGGCTTCCCACTATTAACAGCAGCTGACGTTTATGCTGTGCTCACTGTGCAATGTTAGCTATTATGATTAATTCTTAGTGGGAGGCTGCTCCATATGAGTGAGAACTGCCACCCTGATGACAACTGTCACCTGATTCCAGGAGCTGGAAAACAGGAAAGAAGGACCAACAGTTTATCTTATTTTAAATTGCATTACAAACAAAACCTGCCAAACAACAGTGAACAGTCTGCCCGGGACTAATTTCCTGGGCTTCTCTGGGTTGAGAATTCTCCTCTTTTCTGGGAAAGCCTTCAGAGAGCTACGGCAGCTCCTCTCACTGTGAACACCTGTCAGGACAGACGTGTGCACACGCTCCAGGATAAACAACAGGCCAACTCGAGTCTTTGCGATTTCCCTGCATGGAATCCTTGTCAGCTAACGCTCTCCTCACATGTACATGCTTGGGCACACAACCAGCACCTGACTGAGCTCCTGCTCTGGGCCACAGGAGTGCTGGGGGTGGGGAAGTGGTGAGGAAAGCCCATATCTGCTTCTTCACAGAGCAGCAGGCCAGAGAGGGTCAGGGGAAGAAGGAACTGCTCTGCTCTTTGCTTCTGAATGCACTGAGGCAGGACAGGAAAAGGTGCCGACTCCAGAGCCAGCCTCAAATACAAGCCTTGACAAGAACCCCTGATGATGTCAGAGGGAGAAAATCATGTTGGGTGGAAAGCTGGGAGCACCGGGCACTCCAGTGTTCTCTGAGCTCCTTTACTCAACTCCAGCCTTCTTGTGCCAGACGCTCACTATGTACTTGGAGAATCTGCAAAACACACGCAGACAGGGGAAGGTGGCTCCGGAGAGGAGGGACCCACACACTCACGTGCAAAACCTCCTGCCGGAGCCCGGCTGGCTCCACACAGCTGACGAGACGGAGCAGCAGGTCCATGAGGGCCGAGGTGCCAATGTGCTTCAATACCAGGCTGATAAACTTGTCCTTCTTCTTCAAGAACACAATCACCTGAAATCAAACACATCCTGATGAGTGAGCAGGGGAGACCCCCGACAACCATGAGATCCTTCCTCCAAGAACTCTCATGAGAAAGATTTTGAATTATATTGAGCAGAAATAATGGAAAGACCTAGAAAAAGTTGTAAGAAAAAACCTCTGCAAGGACAGGCAGAGACGTGAACACAGGAAAGTCCTACAAGGCGGTGATGGGGCATGTGAGGACCCTGGGCTGACGGAGGTCTGCCGTGCAGTTGAGGCTTTCTGCTAACGACACGAATATCCTGAGTTAGCACAAGTTGCTGTGCACAGCGACCATTCAATACACACTGGCTTAAGTTTTTCCAACAGAAATGACTGGCCTAAACAGAGCTGGGCCAGGAGATGGTCATTCGTGACAGCCTCTGGACCTGGGACTCAAACCTGAGAGCACAGAGCACAGAAGACAGCCACTTACTGACAGGCCCCACGAGTGGTTGAAGGGAGAGAGGGGTGAGGTTTTTAGAAAAGAGGTGGCAATATATGGCTGGCTGGTGACCAGCCAACAAGATGTGACAGCTAAGTAGGCAGCTACAAGGGGATGTGGCACAGCACTGATGCAGTGGGCTGCTCAGGAGGCAGCTGTAGGTGAGAGTGGAGACACAGGTGGAGAAGCTTGGGCGGAGTCCTTCTTGGCTGCGTGTCTGCAAGTTCAGCTCAGCTCAGCCAGAGAAGAGTACCTGCGTGTCCAGGCTACTGGGCTGAGGTAGACCCAGGACTCCACTGGGGACAATGAGGACATGGAGAAGGCTCACCCAGCTGTGAGGATCTCAGCCACATTCGTGCTGAGATGGGAAGCAGGAAAGGAGGAAGAGGAGAAAAGAGGGGACAGCCGGACAAGGAGGAGAGGGAAAGAGGTGAGGAGGAGGAGGGTTCTTTGAAAAGAATGATTAAACTCCTGGAGAGAAAGATTAAAAACAAAACAGATGGGGCTGGCCTGGTGGCATAGTGGTTAGTTCGCACGCTCCGCTTCGGTGGCCTGGGGTTCGTGGGTTCGGATCCTGGGCGCGGACCTACACGCTGCTCATCAAGCCAGGCTGTGGCAGAGTCCCACATACAAAATAAAGGAAGACTGGCACAGATGTTAGCTTAGGGACAATGTTCCTCACGCAAAAAGAGGAAGAGTGGCAACAGATGTTAACTCAGGGCCAATCTTCCTCACCAAAAAAAAAAAAAAAACAAACAGAGACGGCTCCAATAACTATAACAGGAATGAAACAAGAGACATTGCTACAGATCCTACAAATAGAAAAACTATTATGAGAAGTTATTAGGAACAATTTTACGGCAATTTACGTAAATTTTAAAAAATGAAAAATTTCTTTGAAAAACACACATCTAAACAGACAAAAAGAAACAGAAAATCTGAATAGTTCTAGAGCATCAAAAGAAACAAAATCTATAATCAAAAGCCTCCCTATACAGAAAACTCTAGCCTCTACTGGCCTTACTAGTGAATTCTACCAAACATTTAAAGAAAATAACCTCAGGGGCCGGTCCCGTGGCTTAGCGGTTAAGTGCACCCGCTCCGCTGCTGGCGGCCCGGGGTTCGGATCCCGGGCGCGCACCGACGCACCGCTTCTCCGGCCATGCTGAGGCCGCGTCCCACATACACCAACTAGAAGGATGTGCAGCTATAACATATAACTATCTACTGAGGCGCTGGGGGAAAAAAATAAATAAAAAATTTAAAAAAAAAAGAAAATAACCCCAATCTTATATAGAATCTTCCAGGGAACATAAAATGAGAGAATATGTCCCATATCATTGTATAAGGACATAAAACCTTGATTCTAAAAACTAAATAAGGGCATTACAAGAAAGGGAAATTATAAGTCAATCTCACTGATGACCACAGATGTAAAAATTCAGCAACATGAAAAACTTCTCCTTTTTTTTTTTTTTGTGAGGAGATCAGCCCTGTGCTAACATCTGCCAATCCTCCTCTCTTTTCGCCGAGGAAGACCGGCCCTGGGCTAACATCCGTGCCCATCTTCCTCCACTTTATATGGGATGCCGCCACAGCATGGCTTGACAAGCAGTGCATCGGTGCGCACCAGGATCCAAACCAGCAAACCCCAGGCCGCCGCAGTGGAGCGCACGCACTTAACCACTTGCACCACCGGGCCGGCCCCAGCAATATGAAAGAAAGCATAATATATTACAACCAAGTTGGGTGTATTCCAGGAAATCAAGATTGGTTTAACGTTACAAAGCCCATCAGTGGAATTTACCTATTAACACAATAGAGAAGAAAAATCCTATGATCAACTCAATAGATATAGTAAAAACATTCGATAAATTTCAACAACCACTCGTTATAAACTAAAAAGAGTAGGAATAAAGAAAATTCCCAGGGCCGGCCCCGTGGCTTAGCGGTTAAGTGCGTGCGCTCCACTGCTGGTGGCCCGAGTTCGGATCCTGGGCACACACTGACACACCGCTTCTCCGGCCATGCTGAGGCCGCGTCCCACATACAGCAACTAGAAGGATGTGCAGCTGTGACATACAACTATCTACTGGGGCTTTGGGGGAAAAAATAAATAAATAAAATTATAATTAAAAAAAAATTCCCTTACTCTGATAAAACTATAAAAACCCCACAGTACACATCATCCTTAGTTATAAAATGTTTGAAAGCTTTTCCTGCAAGGTAATAAGTAAAACAAGGAGGCCCACTACCACCACTTCGATTTGACATCGTACTAAAGGTCCCAGCCAATGCAATAAGGCAAGAAAAAGAGATAAAAGGTATAAGAATTATAAAGGACAAAATAAAATGATCATTAATCACAGATGATATAATCTTGGACATAGACAAAAACAAAAGAACATAAAGATAAATTATTAGAATAGCAGTTTTATTGATAATCACCAAAAACTGGAATTAGCCCAGATATCCTTCAACACGTGAATGGTTAAAGAAACTGTGTTACATATATACCATGGCATACTACTCTGCAATTAAAAGGACTGTACTACAGATACCCACAACTACCTGGATGAGTCTACAGGGAATTATACTGAAAAAGCAATCCCCAAAGGCTACATACTGTATGATTTAATTTAAATAACATTTGAAATAACAAAATTTTAGAAATGTAAACAGATTAATGGTTGCTAGGGGTTAGGGATGGATGAAGGGGTAGGGGCAGGAGGAAGGTGGGAGTAGTTATAAGGGAAACACATAGGATCCTTGTGGTTTTGGAACTGTTCAGTATCTTGGCTGTGATGGTGAATACACGAACCAACACAGATGATAAATTGTATAGAATTTAATACATGCATGCACACAAATGACTACAAGTAAAACTGGAGAAATCTGAATAAGATCTGGGGATTGTATCAATGCCAATATCCTGGCTGTGATATTTTACCAGTATTTTACAAAATGTCACCATTGGAGGAAACTGGGCAAAGTATACAAAGGGTCTCTTCATCTTATTTTATACAATTGCATATGAATATACAATTATCTCAAATAAAAATTTTCAATAAAAAAGATACTATTTAGAATAACATGAGAATATCAACTACCTAAGAATAAACCTAATGAAAGGTGTGTAAGACCACTACCCAGAGAATTACAACGTGTCGTTGAGAGAAATTAAAGAAACCCTAACTACTCAGCTTTGTTGCTGTGGCACAAAAGCAGCCATAGACAATATATACATAAATGGGAGTGGCTGTGTTTCAGTAAAATTTCATTTACAAAAACAGGTGGCAGACTGGTTTTGGGCTGTGGGCCATAATTTGCCAACCCCAATCTATAGCTAATGTAAGACTAATCAAAATTTCAGCAGGGTTTTTTTCGGGGGGGGCAGGGGAGAATGTGGAAACTGACAAACTCATTCTAAAATTTGCTCGTTCTAAAATAACGCAAAAGGCAAAGAACAGTAAAAACAATCTTCAAGAAAAACAAAAGGATAAGACTAACTCTATTGAATATCAAAACCTATAAAGCTACAGCAATTACGATAGTGTTTATTGGTGCAATTACAAACAGGACAACAGAACAAAGTCCAGAAACAGACATATACACATGTGATTGCTTGATTTATGGCAAAGGGGGCACTGTAAAGCAATTGAGAAAGAATGGCCTTATCAATAGATAGTGCTGGGTTAACTGCGTATCCACATTAAAAAAAAAATACTTCAACCTTACACCATTTACAAGAATCAGTTCCAGGTGGACTGTAGATAGCACTATGAAAGGTAAAACAATTAAGCTTCTAAAATAGCTAATACACAAGAGTATCTTCACGACTTGGAGGTAGGCAAAGGTTTCTGACCACCAACCATAAACAAAAAGAATTAGGAACTGAACTACATGAAAATCAGAACCTCTGCTCATTAAAATATACCATCAAGAGAGTAAAAACAAAAAAAAACGCAAGCCAGAGTGGGAAAAGATGCTTGCAACACAAAAGCAACAAAAGACTTGTATCCATGAAATATAGAAAATTCTTACAAACCAAAAGAGAAGAAACAGCCTACTAGAAAATAAGCAACAGGTTTCACAAAAGAAAATACTCAAATAGCCAATTAATATATGAAAAAGTACTCATCCTCATTAGTCACCAGGGAGATGCAAATTAAAACCACAATGCTGTAGGGGCCGGCCCCGTGGCTTAGCAGTTAAGTGCACGCGCTCTGCTACTCGCGGCCCAGGTTCGGATCCCGGGCGCACACCGGCACACCGCTTGTCTGGCCATGCTGAGGCCGCACCCCACATACAGCAATTAGAGGGATGTGCAACTATCACATACAACTATCTACCAGGGCCTTGGGGAGAAAAAGGAGGAGGATTGGCAATAGATGTTAGCTCAGGGCTGATCTTCCTCACAAAAAAAAAAAAAAAAGACCTGTCGTGGGGGGGAACCACCATGCTGTATTAAAACCAATGCAAATTAAAACCACTGAATGGCTAAAATAAAAACACTGATAATATAAAGAGTTGGTGAGGAAGTGAAGCAATAGGAACTATCATACTCTGCTGAGGGGATTGTAAACTGGCTCAACCACTTTCACTACCATTCAAGCTGACCACACACATGTCCTAGTTATGACCATCTAATGTAACACTTAGAGCAACCACTAAAAAACCTACACAAAGAGATACACTAAAAAACACTATAGATAAATCAAAATGGAATTTTTTAAATGGTTAAGTAAACCCACAGGAGGCAGGAAAAAGAAAACAGAGAAATGAAAAACAATGAGAACAAACAGAAAACTACAAATAAAATGGCAGCCACAAGGCCCTAATACAGTCATGTGCCACAAAACAACGTTTCGGTCAATGATGTATTATATATATGATGGTAGTCCCATAAGATTAGTACCATACAGCCTAGGTGTGTAGTAGGCTATACCATCTAGGTTTGTATTAAGTATACTCTATGACGTTCGCGCAATGATGAAATTGCCTAACAACACACTTCTCAGAACATATCCCCATCATTAAGTAACTCATGATCGTATACTAATAATTACAATTAAATGTAAATGGCCTAAACCTGTCAATTAAAGACAAATTGACGGAGTAGATAAAAATACTGTGTGTTGTCTACAAGAAATTCACTTTAAATATAACAATTCACACAAAAGACTGTACACAAATGTTCACAGCAGCTTGATTTGTAACAGCCAAAAAGTGTAAACAACTAAAACGTCCTTCAATAAATGAACGGTTAAACAAACTGTGGTGGGCCGGCCCCGTGGCTTAGCGGTTAAGTGTGCGCGCTCCACTGCTGGCGGCCTGGGTTCGGATCCTGCACCAACACACCGCTTCTCCGGCCATGCTGAGGCCGCGTCCCACATACAGCAACTAGAAGGATGTGCAGCTATGACATACAACTATCTACTGGGGCTTTGGGGGGAAAATAAATAAATAAAATCTTTACAAAAAAAAAAAAAGACAAACTGTGGTACAACCATACTATGAAATACTACTCAGTGATAAAAATGAATTGTGATTATGCTTGTAAAAAGAATCCTAATCCTGTAGAAACATATACTGAAATATTTACTTATAAAATGATTTGATATCTGGGATTTGCTTCAAAATAATCTGGGATGGGGGTGGGGAATAGGGGATGTAGAAAAAATAAGATTGGGCCAGCCCCATGGCTTAGCGGTTAAATGCGCGCACTCCGCTACTGTCGGCCCGGGTTCGGATCCCGGGCACACACCGATGCACCACTTCTCCGGCCATGCTGAGGCTGCGTCCCACATACAGCAACTAGAAGGATGTGCAACTATGACATCCAACTATCTACTGGGGCTTTGGGGGGAAAAAAGGAGGAGGATTGGCAATAGATGTTAGCTCAGAGCCGGTCTTTCTTAGCAAAAAGAGGAGGATTAGCATGGACGTTAGCTCAGGGCTGATCTTTCTCAACAAAAAAAAAAAAAAAAATTTTAAAAAAGAAAAAATAAGATGGGTCATGAATGGATAATTGTTGAAGCTATGTGACTAAGACATGGGGGTTCATAAACTATTGTCTCTAATATATAAACGTTTGAAACAATCTTTAATGAAGAGTTAAGAAAATGCTGTAGGTCCTTTCCCTGACAGCCCACCTCTCACGGAAACATGGAAGAAACACTCACTGCAGTCCTATCACAGCAGAACCTGGAAACAAGCCGACTCCTGGACTGTTGATACAGAACTCTGGAGCAGCAATACCACAGACACCACATCTGCTAGAAAGAACATGGTAGTTCTATAGGAAAAGATGTACAAGAACTATTTTGAAATGATGCTGCTATTCTTCATTCATACTCTGCCTGGTTCAAAAAATTTGAGGTGAGGCAGTCCTCTGAGGTCCCTTGTAAATCTAAAATTTATGATCCTATGAAAGACAACATTCCACTGAACATTTACAACATGGCAACAGAATTTCTTCAAGTGAATAATGATCTGTCCTGGGGGTTGCACCTCCACAGAGCTCCAGACACATACATAAAATATTGGTTTGTTTCCTGACTAGATATTTGACAATATTAAACAATTATGGTTAATATTTTGGGGTGTGATAATATAATTTGCTCAGCAAAGTCTTGTCCCCTCCTAGTCTACAGTTATATTAAAAAGAAGAAAAAGTTCTTATATTTTAGAGATATATACTGAAATACTTACAGAAGAAATGATATATCTGGGATTTGTTTTGAAATAATCCACTGGGGATGGTAGGCAGAGGATAAAGATGAAAGAAGACTGACCAAGACTGGCTGCTGAAGCTGGTGACAGGCACAGGGCATCATTACACCTCACGCCCTACTTTTTTTTTTGCTGAGGAAGATTAGCCCTGAGCTAACATCTATGCCAATCTTCCTCTATTTTTCATGTGGGTCGCCACCAGAGCATAGTTGTTGATGAGTGGTGTAGGAAACTGAACCCGGGCCACCAAAGAGGAGCATGCCGAATTTAACCACTAGGCCATGCAGCCGGCTCCACGCCCTACTTCTGTGTCTGTCTAGTGTGGAGGGCAATGAAGCACATGTCAGGTCGAATGTAAGGCAGGAGCAAGTATGGACTCAAGGAAGACCATGCTCCAGCTGAATGAAATGAATTTACTCTCTACTTTACAGAATCCTAATGCCAGAAGTCTCCTTTTATTTGCTTTGAAATAGTAAGTGCCCTACACACAGACGCCCGCCACCCACACAGATGGTGGTGGATGTCCTGAGCTCCTGCCATGATGTAGGCATGTCCCTGGGTCACCTGTGACTGGCTGGTGACGGGACGAGCTGGCCTAGTTTGGGGCCCTGTGCAGCCTCCAGGGATGGCAGAAAGTGCTGCTTATTCCAGAGCTGGCCAGTAGAAATACCTCTTGGGAAGCCACTTTCTTAATCAAATTCCAACTCTCATATCAGTAGCCCACGCTGCTCCACGTGTCCCATGGAACAGTCAGAAACACTGTTCCCCACAGCCTGATGATGCGGGTTGCCCAGCAATGGCTGACAGCAAGGTGTGTCAGCATCAGCCTTGCCAGCCATCCCAAACCACGTGGGTTTGGCAGATTATTTACCTGTTCAGTTTTTCTTGCAATGAGATTGCCAATGGTCTTGCTGAAAAAGCTGGCGAGCAGAGGATTGAGAGGTGGCTCATGGTCCAAGAAGTCATAAAGAAGGTTCAGCAGAGTCTCGTCACCTCCTAGTCTGTCATTGATCTGAGACACGTCACACGTCAGCAACTCACAGGCTGTGTTTGGATATCTAAAAGGGCACAATGCAAGCAACTGGAGGTGAAATTAGACTTCTCCAACTCTGAGGAAACTGCTTAAATAATCTGACTCTTAGGAAGCAGATCACAGGTAAGAACAAAACATTGATAGACCTCGGAACAGAATAAAAATGCGATTATTCTGTGACCAATTGGCATTTTTGACTATTAGAAGCTCAATATTTTTAACATACCTTTTTCTGGCTCCTCATACCTACACTCCGATATCCTACACTTTCCGACTCCATTTCAATTTTCTAAACAACTTTTCTCAGTCTTTTGGCTTACCCTCTCTCCAGGCCTCTGTCCTCATACTCACCTGCCAGGTTTCTCACCTCCTGTAACTACACAGTTAGGGAGGCCAAGTTTCCATTATGCTCATCCTCCCTGTTCCATCGGAAGCCTGTCCCTACATATCAACAAGCACAGATCCAGCTTGTCCCTAGGCTGAAGAAATGTCACATCAGCAGCTTACAATGCAGTAGCAGTTATGAGGTGTTATACATGCAAGTTTTTAATTAGAAATACCAATATATGTAAATGATGTACTATTCATTTGATAAAAATGATCAGGTACAAAATAATCCTTATTCCATTACATGCAATCCCATGACATCACTGAGCTCCCTGCCTTACCATCTGACAGACATGGGGTCACTGCCGTCACCCGAGACAGGCATGCCTACTGAACAACCTGCTGCATCCAGGACAGAGCCCGCAACAGCAGTCCCAGTAACAATGCCCAGTGCCTGGGTACATGTGGAAATGCAGGTGAGGTGCCCGGGGCCGGAGAAGGCAGGAACCAGGTGGGAGTGTCCTGTGGGGCTGAATGCCCTGGAGCACACCTGGCGCCACACGGTACAAACTGTGCAGCGTTGGGCACACTGCCTAACCTCTCTGTGGGCTTCTTCATCTGAACGTGAAGGTGCAAACACAACCCCCACAAGGCTGTGTATAAAGCAGAGCAGTGCCTGGCACACAGTAAGCCCTAGGTCAAGGTCAGCCACTATGACCTTCCTGTTCCTGGTAGCCACCAACATGGACCCCCACACAGCCTATATCAAGGTGGTCATTGTGGATTGGCTAGATGTGCCTGGGTTTGAGAAACTCTATAGGTTGGCAGAGCAGTGCAGCCGACCAAGTGTGGAAGGGGGAAGCGATGGAGAGGTCTCAGTCTGCTTGTGGGGTGGGTGTTCTTCACCAGCCCAGAGAAGAAAGAGCACCTTCTAGAGCTCAGAGAAACAGTGCCAGGTGGCCAGGCTGGGTGTGAGGGATCTGCCAGGTTCACAAGGAGGTGGCCCAGTCCAACAAGCAGGCCCAGGCCACGAGAGGGAACCTAGACAGAAGTGTGGCCAGGGCCCAGACAGAGGTGTGGCCAGTGCCCAGACAGAAGTGTAGTCAGTGCCCAGACAGAGGTGTGGCCAGTGCCCAGACAGAAGTGTGGCCAGAGGTATGGTCAATGCCCAGACAGAGGTGTGGCCAGTGCCCAGACAGAGGTGTGGCCCGTGCCCGAGGAGGGGTGTGGTCAGTGCCCAGGGAGGGGTGTGGTCAGTGCCCACCTCATGGGATTGTTAAGAAGGATCAGACAAGGTGGCTCAGCACTGTGGACGGGAGAGCCAGAGAAAGCCTGTTGGGAGTGCGGGGGGAGGAGGGCCAGGTCAGCAGCACCAAGGGCCAGAGTGAGGCGCTGCCTCACACAGGCAAATGTGTGTCCACCAGACTCCAAAAAACAAGAAAAGACACATCAAGAGGCAGGAGAGACTCAAGCCCCGGAGAAAAGCACAGACCACTCCTTCAGGAAGCTTTTGCAGAGCACGCGGAAAGGCACCAATCCTGCCTCCACATACAAACAAACGTGCACCTTCTAAGGTTACATCTAGGTGGAGGGCTTGAGATTTTCTTTATCAGTATTTTATAATTATTCTTCAAAAAACAGCTACTGCTTTAGGTTATAAAATTTACACAAGGAACAGCAATTCCAGTTAAACATGGCAAATCAAACATATAGTCTTGTCACCATTCCCTCTCAAATTCCTACTCAAATAAATGTCAAGAAAAAAAGACACAAAAAGAGAAGTAGAAATGACGCTGGGCAGGGCCTAGAAGACAGACAGGGTGGCCTCAGGATTGCCCTGGCGCAGCAGGGGAGCTGAGCCTCAGGTGGTCACTGAGGGGAGCACAACTAGGAACACTGCTCCAGAGAGGCCTGGACATGGAGATGGCGGCCAGCGTGGCCAGGGTGGAGAGACTGGCTGGAAACTCACAAGAGCAGCCCTCTGAGACTTCCAGCCCCCTGCTTGCTGCCATCACATGGGACCTGGAGGTTTATTCCCTGGAAAAGAGGACCAGAGCACTCCCGACTAGGGGATGTCAGACACTGCTGAGAGAGGCACAGAACACCATCCAGAAATAGTGGCCTGGTAAAAAGAACATTGGGGTTCCCCCAGCCCCTCTTCCTGACTCAAGTTGCTGACAGGTCTACATCCCACAAGTGGGAGCTGGAAGGATTCTTTTCTGCAGAAAGTGATGGGACAGAGAGAAAAGTCAACTAGTCATCACCCAACCAAGCAGTCGGCCACCTACCGCCCACAGTGAAGAGTGGTGAGCAAACCCCACTCAGACCCCAAACTCTGCACAGACTTTAATGCCTCTCTCAAAAGGAACACAAGTACAGACCAAACCAACCAGGAGCAGAAAACTAGGCACGTAGAGCAAAGAGAATGCAAAGAACAGAAGGAAACCATCAACAAAGCTGTACACTGAGAAAGCGTATCCATGAGCAAGAAACGGAAGCTGAGAATAAGACCTCTTGGAAATTAAAAATGATGGTAGAAATTTTAAAAATCAATAAATGGACAGGAAAATAAAACTTGAAGAATCCTCTCAGATGCAGAGCAGAAATAGGAAGAGGGAAGTATGAATCCAGGTGGCCTAACAGCCGGTTAGGGGTCCCAGACAGAGTCGAGAAAAGTGGACTGGAGAACATCAAAGAAAGAACACAAGAAGCTTCCCTGTGCTGAAGGCCACGAATTCACAGACTCAAAGGGCCATGGCACCTCGCAGAGTAAGTGAAGCCACCGACACCCAGTGCTTCCTTTGTACGAGCATGGACACACTGTGACTGCTGAGTGCCTCGTTCACTCTGAGTGCCCTGTTCACTCGTTTTATCTGCTTATTTCTATGTCCCCCCCACCAAGTTAATGGTTTTCTCCTTGTTTTGTTTGCTTAGTTTTGTACTCATCTATTAATTTCTCCCTAACTCTCTGACTATAAAACTCTCTTGGAGGGGCCGGCCCCGTGGCTTAGCGGTTAAGTGCGTGTGCTCCGATGCAGGCGGCCCGGGTTCGGATCCCGGGCGCACACAGACGCGCTGCTTCTCCGGCCATGCTGAGGCCGCATCCCACGTACAGCAACTAGAAGAATGTGCAACTATGACATACAACTATCTACTGGGGCTTTGGGGGAAAAATAAATAAATAAAATTATTAAAAAATAAAAAAAAATAAAAAAAAAAAAACTCTCTTGGATTATCCATGTTGCTTCTGGAATTCCCCTGTCCTGACCCAAGAAATAATTTCATATTATTGGGAAATTCCAGAAAAGGACCTAAATATCCCGCTAGAGGAAAGAAACCTGGCCACACAAAGGCCCGGGAGGCTTGCTGCATCAGATCTGCCAAGAGCAAGGCCGGAAACTCAAAGACAACCACGAATCCTTGAAACTGCAGGAGAATGATGTCCAGTCCAGAATTCTACATGGAAGGAACACGGGACAAGCAAAAGAAGAACAGTGCATCATCAGACAGGCCTGACCCCCAACCGTTACCACCTACGTACAACTCAGAACACGATTCACTATATAGGAAGGAAACCAAAGAAGAGGAAGATGAAATCCTGGAACATGGAAGGTGGACACTGGAGTTACCAGGGCAAGGATGAAGGAGATTCCCTTCCCCCTCCTGACGCCTCCCTCTGTGCCCAGACTTGCTGCTCCCCAGCGGGGTCATCTGGGCAACCGGGTTCAGTGATCCTCCTTTCTGCTCTGCCCCTTAGTACCGGTAGGGTTTTTTTTGCGGGGGG